AATTATAGTTAATGTAGGAGCCTTAATAATTACCTATAATATTTTTTTGGGGGGGTTCCGTATTATAACTATACTATAATGTACCCCAACAACCTATTCTAATTATTAAGGCCGCTCCATTACCCGAAAGGGTTAGTTTTCACAGGGTTTGAGGGTTTAGGGATAGGGGTTTTAGGGGTTTTAGGGCTTTAGGGTTTGGGTCTTAGGGCTTTGGTTTTAGGGCTCAGGGTTTTAGGGTTCTGGGTTTAGGGTTGAGGGTTTTAGGGTTTTAGGGTTTGGGGTTTAGGGTTAGGTGTTTTAGGGTTTAGGGCTCTTAGGCTCGAGAGAACTGAAAGGGGGTTTAGGTGTCGATCATAGCCGTTCAGGGAATGTTGCCACCTAAAGACCTGCACAGCGCAGAGTGGTGTTTCTGTAGTCGGGACTACTAAGCTCATCACATGGTTTGTGCAAGAAGCCGTCTTCGGAGGTACGAGCTCCGAACGACCCCAGATTTCAACAGGCTTTTCAACTGGGCTTATAGGGCTGTACAAGGTCCTCACAGCTTTGTACGAGGATTGTGGAGGGCCTACGTACCTGAAACCCAAGCAACCCTATAGAAACCCTAAGCTCTAACCTCTAAGCCTCCCTTTTCAGAGTTCCTGAGTGTGATTTCTTGGTGGGTCCGCAAAACGGTAAGGTTTTCAGGGCCCAGGCAGGGTTTAAGAAGTTTCTGAGTATTTTGTGCGATAACGTAAAAGGCCTAGGCTTAGTGACTCTCAGGGTCGGAAGTTTATGGTTCCAGGGTTTAGGGTTTAGGGGTTTCGGGTCTTGTTGTGAAGAGGTCTTGAGATTAAGTGTTTCGCATTTAGGCGTCATGTGTGAAAGCTTCAGGCTTTTGGGTCTAGGCTTTTGGGCTTTCAACAGACCTCATAGAGCCCCTCAAAAACACAGTCCCTGTGAAACCCTCTTCTCTTAGGGGTACTTAGAAATATTTTTAAATCTTTGGCTACTATAAACAGTAAGAAGCAGCTAAAATTCTAATTTTTGCTAGGGCTGCTAGGGGTCTAAGTTCAGTATAGTTCTATAATCAACGCCCGAGCCCAAAAAAAGCAAAGTGCAGCAGGAGCCCGCGCGCTGCGGAGCCTCACAGCCCTCCGGGTCCAAAGCGCAGTCGCTCCGTGCCGGCGCTGCATCGACGGAGGCAGGAAATGAAGTTAGGGTTTCTTGTTTAGGATTTAGGGTTTATAAGGGTTTGGGGTTTAAGTCGTCGACGTTTGGGGGTTCAGGTTAGGGCGTTGGGTTACTTATAAGGTGTATAATCGGGTTTCGTGTTGAAGGTTGAGGTTTTCTTTTGGGGTTTAGGGCTCAGGGGCTGGAGAAGTCTCGGGTTCAGGGTCTGCGGTCAGGAAGGAGCCTAATATAGGGGCCTGAATCATATTGCCGGGGTTCCTTACTGCTATAGTTATGGTATAATATACCGCAAAACCCTATTCTGATTATATAAGGCCTTTACCGTACGCACCTGCATAGGCAACTGCAGGGTTTTCGAATTTCAACGACCATAATTACACCGTGAACTGTGTAAGTATCCGCCACACATGCCTTCTCCGAATTCACAGGTTTAGGGTTCAGGGTTGTAGGATCGGCAGCAAGACGCTTATATTTGGCAAGTATGCAGGAAATGGAGTCTGCAAATCAGGTTTGCAACGTCCACACGCTCCCTTCGTAGGGGTTGTTGCGGGGTGATCTGTAGTTTGAATATCCCAGAGAACCCAATAACCCTTAGTTAAGGAATAAACCTTATAATCATAAGACTAAGGCCCCTATAATTTAATTAAGGGATATTGGGTTCTCTGGGATTATAGCATCCTATACTTAGTATACCTTGTCTTCTCCGCCTCGGAAGCGAGTGATGTCTTTTTTTAAGTAAGCCCGTATGATGAAGCAAGGTTGACATTGCTGTCTTGACATGGTGAGGATACATTGTAGGATAGTAGGTATATTTTGGGTTTAAACCCTAAACCCCTATCCCCTAAACTCCTAAACCCCTAGACCCCTAAACCCTAAACCCCTAAACCCCTAAACTCTAAACCCTAAACCCCAAACCCTAAACCCTAAACCCTAACCCCTAATCCTAAGAGCCTCAATTCTAAAGGCCCATCTTTGCAAGCTCTCGGGGCTCATTTTGGGGGTTTACATAGCCTTTATAAAGCGAGTAGATCTTGAGGGTTTATAGGATTTAGGGTCTAGGATTTTGGGATTTATAGGATTTAGGAATATACGGTTTAGATTTTTTCTTTAGGGTTTTTGGGGATTAGGGATTAAGGTTTTCTTTGGCAGAGGAGCAACCCCTTCCTCAACGGGGATCACGGCTGCGCTCCGCGGCTGTGGTTGGAGGCCAATAAGGGCTTCTGGGGGAATGTTAGGGGTACTTAGAAATATTTTTTAATCTTTGGCTACTATAAACCCTAAGAAGCAGCTAACATTATAATTTTTGCTAGGGGTCTAAGTTCAGTATAGTTTAGGATTGTTAAGTTAAGGGCCAAGTTGACGAAGTCTCTGAGGCTGTGGACATTATGCCTGTACCCTGCTATACCAGATGGGTGGTTGTCAAAATTAGGGTCCCTTTTTGGGTCCTTATTATAATACGGCACCTATTATTTAGGGTACCCGGGTACCCCAAAAGGGACCATAATTTTGACAATTACCCAGATATCGATAGGAAGTCTGAACCTGACATTGGGTATGACGGGGTACGTTTTCATGGGTTTAGGGGCTCAGGGATCTTGGCTGAAGCTGGGTTGAGGATTGTCGGTTGGCGGGTTGAGGATTAGTGCATGAGGATTAGTGCATGACAGGATATGGCGTTCAAGCTGGGGTGGGGATTTGCGGCAATCTGCCCATCTCGGGTTTTACGGCATTTGCGGTAGGGGTGGTCTTGCAGTCGCCATTCATTTCTTTGAAATTAACGCCCCTTACCTATAGTCTCCATTGTTGTTCCTTTGTTGCTGAGCCGAGTTTTCTTATAGGATCCTAACCTTAAAAAAGGTTAACCAACATAAAGGAGCTGCAATGGAGACTGTAGGTAATGCCCCTTGAAGCCTGAACCCTAAATCCTTCAGGGCTTGGGGTTCAGGGCTTGGGTTCCTATGCTGAACTGCTTCAGAGAGACCCTATACACCTCCACTTCCATACTTCTCCCAACCCCCCAAACGTTGCAGACTTGATTCCTCCGAAATAGCCTGAGCCCCGAAGCCGCCTAAACCCTAAACCCTAAACCCTAAGCCCTAAAACCCCAAGCCCTAAGCCCCAAGCCCTAAACCCTAAATCCTAAACCCTAAGCCCTAAACCCCAAACCCTAAGCCCCAAGCCCTTAACC